ACACACACACACCACACACACACACCACACACACACACACACAACACACACACACACATCAGCAGGTTATCTGCGGGGAGTGATGAGGTCCAAAATCTAAATATGCTGTACTGCTTAATAAACATTCCAAACGTGAGTTGGCTGACTGAAATGAGAATACATAATTAGATGTTACAAGACTTCCTGGGTATTTATGATATTCCTTTTTCAAATAAGCTTGATTTGTGGATTACCGTGGTATAGATATAAAATACTGCCAAAAGTTGTTGTAATAAATGGTGCATGAGGTTGCAATTTCAATTAAAATGGGCAAAACAAATACAAAATCTGATCTCCTTTCTGTTCAGTTTAAGGGTAAAAAAACACATGGAAAATTGTGTAAATTGAATGTAATGTGTTCCTATAATTTTCATGACAAAAATCATTATATTGAATAGTGACTGATCACAACAAATGAGATGCAGTGTTTACAGTGAGCCGTCCTACCTCTCAGTTCCTCTCTCCTGGGTAACATGATACTGCATCGGTGTGAGGCGCTTTCTCAGATCCTCCTGAGAAAAGCTCACTGGCCATGTCTTCTTAGTTCTACATGCTCCTGAGGGGCGAGGCAGAGAGGACAAAATATATTAACTATGCAGGAAGATGTCCAGCTATTCTTCAACAACAAGCAAGTGGGCCAAAAACTAAGCTTACAGTATAATAAGGACATTGACAAATAAACAGTGCTGTCATTAAGACTGTGGCAAGCTAGTAATTATTTCTGAGAGTATTGGAAATGAATAAATATATATGACTGTATGTTTATTCCACTTTATTCTCGTAATATTACAACTTTATTCCTCATAATGTTCCGACTTTATTCTCGTAATGTTTTTCCCCGACTTTAATTTCTGGTTAAATGGTTTTTTCGACCTTTATTCCGTAATTGTTTACGACTTTATTTCTCGTAATGTTACGACTTTATTTCTCGTAGACTAATAATTAATGCTTTATTCTCGTGATATTATGAATTTATTCTCGTAATTTCCCCCCAAAAAACATATTTTTTTTTCTCTTAGTCTGGCCCTAATACTCCGTCGTACAAATCAACCCTGAAATGTTCTCATATGTCATAAATGGTTTTGGAGCCAATTAAACTGTATTATTATAATTTTTTTTATCATATCCACCAAGAAGAACTCTATATCTATGAATGAATGAGTAATGATGTCAGCCTTTTATATTTTAGGTGATGTTTCCATGAGGTGATGTGCAGTGGCGTGTGTATGTGTGTGTGTGTGTCACTACCAGCTATTCAGGATAAACTGGATAGTGGTATGTTGTTCAGAGTCTTTTCTACGTGTGGTTCCTGGTCATTTTTTCCAACATGATAAGTAGATCTTGAAGCAATTACACGGTATCAGAACCAGAATCAGAAATACTTTATTTATACCCATGGGGGAAATTTGTTAAATTATCAACTTCTGAACACCATGCTCTGTCACTTTTTCTCCTCACTCCTTCATCATGCAGACATTTATTGTGCAAGAATAACTGGCTGATGTCCACAAAAACACAAAAAATAACCAATGAGTAATAAATCCCTTTAACATTGCGTGTAGATTTGTTAAACAAAACTAAAACCACTCAGTGCAAGCAAGCTGCAGGGAAGCCAAGCAGTGAATCCTTTGATTATTCTGTTAGCACTTGTGAGCATGTGAGTAGAGCTACAAACTCAACTAATGTTGAACTCATCATTTTACATTGAAAATTCCACTGTGTACTCTTAGTCTAAGTCTGGAAACTCTATTCAAAGGCATTTGTACTTTTGAAAAAATCTTGTTATCTCTTTGACAACCCCAGTAATTTTTGTGAAAATGTACATCTTTGCTGACCATTTTGAGGACAGGCTATACTATTACACATTTGGAGATGTGTTTTTAATTTCCATTCATTTTTGTAGACTTAAAAAAAGTTATATTTTTTTAAAATATTTTTTAAAAATATGAATAGAATCTAGAACCTGCTACCCTTCACACTGACTATCAGGTGTGTATTGTCAAAATGATGTTATTGGTGTTTGATAATGCAGTTTGACTTGCATTGACTGCATTATCCTTCAACAATAATACAGTAGAAGAAGAATGAGCAAGTTTTATGAGTGTGCTGATTGATTTTCATACTGTATAGATAATAATTCAATGGACTACTGGAAAAGTAGCGATATCTAAGTTTATAAAACACAGTAGCAAAATTTTCAAAATGGTAAATGTGCTAAAACATGCAAAATGACACAGTATGGTCCTTTAAGAATAACCCTAATATTTGCTGAGTTAATTTTTTTTCATTATAACATGAATTTTGGACATTAAAATTAAAATTATAACACATGCAACAAAGTGGTGTACTGAATTAAAGTGTTGTCCAGCAGAGGGAGGCACATACCTGCCAATACTGAATACAAATCACTGTCATTAGTCTGGGGTGCAGGGGAGATTTTTTTTGTGTGACTGAGAAGCACTTGCATGTCACAATGCAAAACAATCAAGTGTTCAATAACAACTTTCCTTATTGGCAAAAAGTTTGGCATCTTGACTTTCATCAGTCAGCTTAGCTACCAAGAATACAGCTGCAGCACAATCAATTTCGTTATGAAAGACAAGAGGAAAGATAATTGCCCTTTAAGGCCTATTCATTGCTGAGATCCAATAACCAGTCCTGTTCAGGTTTGGTCGTATATGGGAGCTCTCAAGCATCGTTCAGAAATTTTATCACCATTCCTTGAGAGGACCCGTCAAATTTTAGAAAATAACTGAAAGCAGCTCACATCATTCTCAACACACAGACTGGGACAGTAAAGACATGCTGACACACCAGCCAGGTATTAAGGCTTTAAGAGAGGCAGAGCACAGCAGGCACACAGCACCCAGTCATTGGACCTGAGGGAAGACTGCAGGATCTCAGAGCTACAGGCTGGCTCTTGGTTATTAGATGCAGAAGATTGAAGCCCGACATGGCTGCTGGAGAGAGGTACTCCACCCACCACAAGAACCAAACACCCCTCAGCAGGGCTACAACCAAGGACTTGGCTGAATGAATGGGATCAAACAGAAGGGAAAAACAACACAAGACAACACAGGTCAAGATACTGAACAGCATTAGAGACAAAATGTGGAATGAAAGCGCTGGTCATCAGTGGGATACCCACTGTTCATGCAGAGTTTGAAGGACATTGGTTAACATGAATGAAAAGAAACAAAAAACATCAATACTTTATCCTGCATGGGTGACAAATTCCTTCATTACAATCAATTTTTTCAGTGTAGTTTATGACTTTAAGGTGGTGATGGCTAAAAATTAAAGTAAAAAACAAAACAAATATAATATCTAAATATTTTAATAAAGGTTCCATATGTAAGATTCAAAAACATTTTACACATATTTTTTTTATGTATTAATCATTTTTTATTGCCAATGAATGAAAAATTTGCCAGTGTGATGCCTACAAACTGTTTCAAGAGTGTGAGTGCGGGCCACAGGACGCTGACTGCAGTTCCCTAAATGGCCACCATCATAACAACAGCTATAACAATGTTTTTCTGAAAGTTACATATATAGAACCTTTAAACTAAACTTGTACTCAGAAAGTAAAATCCATTGTCTCTCTCTGACTAGAAAACATACAGAAAAACCAGGCAACCAATAATACCACCAGAGATTTTTGAATGCTGAAAACATGTAGTCTGCTTAAAATGCATTGGTTTATATGTTAGAAAATTCTATCCATATCGTGCTTTTGCCTCGAGTTCAGTTTCAACTAAAAATACATTAAATTGTATATGTGTCGATGCTCTGATAATGCAAACACCAGCGGTCCATAAAGAGACTTTATCCTATTATGAAAGAAATTGATCAGACTGGAATCACAGCTTCCAGAGAACAGAACCACCCTTTGGGGGACTAAGGTAAGAGGAAGAGAGAGTAGGAAAGACAGAAATGCAAATAAAAGATTGATTATATATAACTCCAGCTGATCTCTTTCCCACTTTTCTCCTTTCTTCCGTGGAATTATTGGACATTGTGGTCAAAGTTGTGCTCTCCTTTGCTCATGCAGTCAAACGCAGGAGAGGAAAAGGCGCTTGTGCGTCTCTGCCAGTGCGGACATTGCACACCGTTACCTGGAATACTCCTCTCCAACGTGTGTTAGCTGTGCAACAAAATGGAAGAACTTCAGCTACTGGTGGGGAAAAACAAAGAAGATATTGTACAATGTGCAGGATGAGAAAAACAACGAAAGTGCATAATGTAATGGCATTATACAGGGGTGGGTTTAGAGTCAAGGTCAGTGGGGGATCCGGGCCTGGTAAATGGAGGCACACAAGATGATGGGGGCGGGTGGGGCTGGATTCTTCCTGGGAAGCCACAACCATCTTCTACTGTCTTTAGAGGGTTAGTGCCAGGTTGTTCTGGCGCACCAGTTTACCAGATGGTAATATGTCTGTAGGTGGACTCATCTCACGCAGAGCTGAGCCCAATGGAGGTGTGGTTTTGCATCCACAAGACTCAGGGAGCCGATTTTTCCTCTCTGGTCGGGCATTTTTAAACTGGTTTGTATTGGGGGGGTCGTGGCTGAGGTTTCCTTTAGGTCGCGCTTCACACACAGTATCGGTCGACAGCATGTGCTGTGCCTCTTGCTAAATAACGGGGGGAGTAGAAAGGTTTAACGGTTTACAAAGAAGAGATCGAGTTAGGAGAGAGGCAGTGCTGCTGGATCACTGTCACATCGTTACACATGTATGGCTGGTGTAAAAACAGATACCTCACCTTTGTTTGCCGGAGAGTTGTGTGTCACAATCTGTTCTGAAAGTGGGGAGCCTGCCAGCAGCAGCGCACAGAAGATGAAGAATAGTATTTAGGCGCTTTGAGGTGGGTCAGAAGAACTAGAAAGGTGGGCTATAACAAGTACAGGTCCATTTACCATTTACCATTTATTTGTT